CAATTACACCCCTGCTTCCATAATTCCACTCAAATTCAATCCCTAATTTACCAAACAACCCCTTAGCCTCCAAAATTTCTTCAAATGAAGTCCCAGATGTTACCATTTAGTCCCTGTCTTCGTAAATACTTACAAAACCAATCTGGAACTTACACTTTTAACCCCCAACTTCTAAATTATGCCAGTTAACTGCTCGAAATCAACACCTTGCTATATAATTATTGATTTTAGGGCAATTATACATTCATTAATTTGTTTATTTATTTATTTAATAAACGGGGTGTTACACTTCGCACCTAGATCTATAATCTCGGAAGTTCTTCAAACAATTTATCAGTTCCAAGTTCCATTTAAAACACCTAGATCTATTGTGTTGTATGGTATTTATAGTTTGCACCATTCATTTCCTGAGGACGCCACTTGTTTAAATAAACAAGAATCTGAATATGTTGAAATTGATATTATTCGTCATACTGATCTTAGAAGGTCAAATAAGGAAAAAAAAATTAATGCTAGGTTTAATGAATGCCATAGAAGGTAAATATATTGTTGGAATTGAAAAGTCTATAGGTTATTCAAATTTGAATTATGGGTCAAATCGTTTTGTTTCAAGTCTTAATAAATGTGTTGAACATTTAAAAATCCTAATTAAATTAGATTCATGAATGATTAAATTGAGGATCTAAATTGTAATGTAACATGGGTTATTATTAATTCACTAAAAGATAGAAAACATAATGATTGTAAATGCATTTACAATATAAAATATAGATCTAGTTGTGAAATTGAACATTTTAAAGCTCGTCTTATTGCTAAAGGATATAGTCAAAGATAGGCTTTTGACTTTGATGCGACTTTTTCACCCGGTGCTATATTTGTCACTATGAGATGTATTATTGCGATGGTTGTTAATTTTAACTGGAATTTGTATCAACTTGACATTAATAATGCTTTTATGTATGGGTCTATTGAGGAAGAAGTTTATGTATTTACCTCATACTTCATAAAGAAAGACAAGCAAGTGTGTAAATTAGTTAATTTTTTGCATGGCTTAAAACAAGCTCCACATAAATCAGATGAATCCTTAACATCATCTTTATCAGAGTTTGGTTTATTCAAAGTAAAAGTGGGTTGTATTTGTCTCAAAGAAAATATTGTTCAGAACTATTGTTTGACTTTGGACTTCTTTCTTCTAAACCCTTTTCATCTACTTTAGATTTAAATGTCATTGTTAATATTGAAGGTGAGAATTCTAGTGATGCTATATTTTGTAATATAACTGGATATTAAAAATTAGTTGGGAAGTTGATGTATCATAATAATACCCGTCCTAATATTTTGTTTGTTGTCCAAACTTTAAGCCAATTTATGCATTTTCCACGAAAGTCTCATTTGAGAACAGCTATTACGATTTTTCGTTATTTGAAATTGTCCAGGAATATGCCTTTTAATTTCTAAAAGCAGCTCTTTGGACTTGACTACGTGGGTAGATGCAAATCGGGGTCGTTGTATTTCTACTTGAAGGTCTATAACTGGTTATTGTGTGTTTATTGGTAATTTCGCTTGTTTCACGAAGAAGTAAGAATCCACTATTTTGCGATCTTTTACTAAAGCAGAGTATCGTGTCATGGCGTCAGTAACTTTTAAATTTTTATGGATTTTAAAGGTTCTTAAATATTTTATTATAAAAAGTTAACTACCTATAAATATACTTTTTGATGATTGATATGCAGTTCTTATTTCATTTTGCACGAAAAGACAAAACATATTGAAATTGATATTCATCTTGTTAGTGATAAAGTTTCAAAAAGAATTGTTAAAGTAGTTAAGGTTGATTTTGTTAATTGTGGAAAAAGCCCTCCTTAATTAGGGGCGTTGTATTGCATATATATATATATATATATATATATATATATATATATATATATATATATATATATATATCCAACACTGGTCCTGAAGACGGGTCTTCCAATGGAGACCTGAAATTTCACAACAAAGAACTAACTATGAGTCAGCGTACTTTATAGGTAGCGTAGAATATGCTTGAGAGAAAAGAAATGAGATTCAAAAGGATCATGCATAAATAAACAGATCTACTGAACAACATATGCAATATCAAGACAAGTGAAGGTAAGATATTGCAAAACACTGACAAGGCTTCGGTAAAGAGTATGATCAAAGATATAAGTACCATCGGGATATAGTTTAGAATTTATATCCGTAGGAATAGAGAACATGTTGCAAGAGGACATGTTAGATCAAGAAAGGATTTCTTTAGCCAAAGAAGTTTGAGATAGGAATAAACCCTTTGTTAACTGAGAAGCCGTAATCCCGAGAAAAAGCAAAAAAGAGCCTAAGTTGGACATGTGGAACTAAGAGGAAATATGAGTAATGATACATGCAATAAGTGTAGAATAAGTGGTAGTTAGGATTATATCACCAACATAGAGGAGAAGAAATATGTTATCAGAGCCAAAGTGGTAACTGAAAAGAGAGCAATTAGACTGATTGCTAGTAAAAAACTGAGGGAGGTGATATAGATTGTGACATGATGATATCAGACTCTATGAGCCTACTTGAGGCCATAAAGAGCCTTCCAAATGTGACAAACATGATATGGGAAGGTATAACTAACATACCTTAGAGGTTGTTTCATATAAAACTCCTTAGATAAGTCACCATGAAGGAAATCACTTTTGACATCCAACTGATGTATTGGCCGGTCGTTGGATATCACAATGCTTAAGACAATACAAATAATACATTACTTTTGTTGGCTATTGTTCACCTGCATCTCTTGTGACATGTTTCCTTAGGTTTATTGTACTCTTTGATTTTTTGGTTTTTCTTTTGTCTGTACAAACTCAGTTTCCGTTCCAACTCCCTAAAAAATAATACATAAATAGTTATTTAGTTGTTAGGGTTGTGGTCTTGTGGATGATAACTTTTACGAACTTTTTCTTACTTTCAGGGATAATTTTTTGATTCTAAAAGCTCTATTATGAAGATATGAACCAAACCTTGGAATTTATGTGGTTTTCTACATTATATTAATTTATGTGGATTTTGGTCCATAGATGAGTGAAGTTAAAGTTGTTCATTTGTGTACACTAGTTTAATTTATGTGGTTTTCTATAACTGTTCATAAGTCATAACTAAACATATGCATGTTCATAAATTAACATTGTATATATTCAATATTTATGTCTAATGGATATATTCATGCATGTTTTGTATTGAACATGTACGAAGATGATCAAATTACTTGGTTTTTGAATATATGTTCAGTTATGAACATATTCATATTGCATAAAAATGACCGACATTGACAAGTGAACATGAAATTTTATGATGTTTAGGAGCATTACTAGTTTAGGAGGTTGTGTATAAATGTTCACTTATGAACATATGTTGCACAAAAGGCATTCACGTTTATTGATATATGTTCGTTAATAAATTTGTGCATATAGTTTTTGGGGTTTTGTATAAATATTTGATTATGAATATGTACGAATGTAACAAATTTATGAATATTTGAGAAATGCATATCAACTTTCATCAGTGAACATTCATTTGATAATGATAATAAATGGTAGTATTTTATAATTTTCGTATGCATTAATTTTTTCCATTTAAATAAAATAATCGGTAATTTTACCATCATACACGTAATCATTTAATCAAATCTAATGGTTTAAAATATAGTTTTATAGTTCTATGAGTTATTTTGGTTCCCGCCATATATATATATATATATATATATATATATATATATATATATATATATATATATATATATATATATATATATATATATATATATATATATATATATATATATATATAATTTAAAAGATCCAGCTTAACAAATTGTTGTTTTTACTAAACCTTTAAGTTCAAAACGACAAGAATTCTTTGAAATAAATGTAGATTAATTAATGCCTTCCTTGTTGGTGTTAAAATGTGGTATATAAAATGTTTTAATTTAGTTTAAACTTGTTTTTATAAGATATTGTGGAAACAGATCATAAAATTTATATTGTCTGATTCTCTTGGATTTGGGCTTGTTTTCTCTTGAATGTAGAAGGAATAAATATGTTGCCTCTTTTATTCCATGGGTTAAACTTTTTTACATTAGGGTTCTAGTATTTAAAGCTAAACGAAAGAATGAAGGGTCATTTAACACTTATTCACCAAACACCGTAGCCACTATGTTTTTCTCTATGTTCTTGTATGAACCCTAAATTTTTCTTGAGCTTTTTGCAGCACCTGTTCCATGTATCATTTAACTTTTAAGTTTTTTTTAGGGTTTTGTACTGGAACTCGGCGAGTTGGGAACCCAAATCGACGAGTAGAGATTGATTTTTGGACGCGGGACTTAGGGTCTACTCGACGAGTCGGAAGACCCCGACTCGATGAGTAGACACTATAAAGGAAAACCCTAAGTTTCAGGGGTTTGTAGCCTATTTAAGGAACTTATGGGTCATTTGTGTCCTCCTTCATCATCCTATCTTTTCAGAGAGAAACCCTAGCCATGCTTTAGTTCCTTCTTGAGTGTGTGTGAGCTTTGGAGAGTAAATCTTGTGCTTTTTGGAAGGAAACTTGAAGGTTGAAAAGATTGAAGTGAAGAGAGGGCTTTAGATCCGGCATCTACCTGGTGTTAGCATCCATTTGGAGGTAAAAGTTGCTACCTTGATCTCTATTTGCTTAGATCATCTTATGGAAGAGTGTGGTCAATTTTGGTGCAAAAAGGGTGTCATACTCGAATTTGGACTTGTCATGAGGATATGTTTCCAGATCTAGACACATCTAGGTCTTCAATGATATAAAGTTGCTCCCTTTACCTAGTCTAGGCCCTTTTACATGTCCTAAACTGTAACATCCATAAAAATCAAACAAATTTAAAACTTTTTAAATATCCAAAAATACTATTAATTATTACAACGTGTTTTAAAAATAGTTTAAGCATCAGAGTTCCTAGAAATCATAATCATAAATCAAGGAAGTGTATGGTCACGCCTTCGCCTTCCCACAATCATCTGTTGTACCTGAAATAATAATCGATAAACGTAAGCTCAAAGGCTTAGTGAGTTACCCCCAAAATACCTATCTCATACAACCATAAACATATCATATAACAAACACTAACATCCATGCATCTCGAGTCCACAGTATGACTGGTCCCCCTGCACCGTGCCTTCAGTCCACATGGTCCACTCTCTGAGTCTACAGCATGACTGGACCGCCCACATCGGGCCATCAGTCTATTTGGCCCACTCTCCGAGCCTCGACACGTCTGGACCGCCCTCTCGGGGCCTTCAGCCTATCTGGACCGCTCGTCGGGCCTTCAGTCTGACTATGTGCCCTCCTGGGCTTGCAGTTTATTCGGTCCGCCCTAGTTATCATGGCCTACAACACGAAGCAGGACCCACCTCAACGCAACCCCCATACCAATCAAACAATCATGTGCACATAAATTTCATACGCTAGCATCTATATAACAGATAATCATACCGATCTAACAGATCACTAAAACAGTAACCATCCCATAACCAGGATACCAACCTAACCGGTCACTGACATAGCATCATTCTATATACCAGGATACCGACCTAAACCAGGTCACTAACATAATACCATCCTAACTACCAAGATGTAGATCTAGCAGATCAATAAACATATCAAGCGAATACCTGGATACAAATCCGATAAAGGGTCGGCCTTGGTGCCTTAGACCCTATTGATATAGTGAGTATAACTCACCTCGCAAGTAGTGCCGAAGTACCGAAACCTCTAATCGATGTCTCACCGAAAATCCCAAACTATCATATAATAAATACCAAGTCATTACACAACATAACAATCTTTACTAAGGGTCTACACAATCCATTATGTCCATTCTCTTTATTGGGCCAAGGCCCAATGCCAAGTCCATAACCTTGAAAGTCCTTATGCAAAGCCCATTATTGGCCCAATTTACCAAATTGGGCCCAACTCCCTAATTGGGCCTAATTCCAAGATCCATTATCAAAACTTGGCCCAAAATATTATATTCATAAAGTCCAGCAAAGGCCTAAATCCAACTAGTCCTTAAACAACCCAAAACCCGAAGCCCAATTGTCAAAGGCCAAACATAGGACATATACGGGGGGTATTCCTCTGGTATGTTGGGTGTACTCATCCTGATGTTGACCACCATCGGGGTGGTTGACCCAATACGCTGGGCATATTAGATTTACGTTGGGCATACGTGGGGTTTCACCAACACCCTAATAAGTGTTTAATGGCTTAAGCACTTAAGCCCAAACTCCAAATCCATCGACCAAATGTGCCATAGGACTATAAAGTCTTGAACTTTATCACTTTGGACGTCCAAAAAGTTCTTAACACGTAGTATTGATCCATTAAGACCTTCCTACTTCATGCATGAGACAAATCTAGCTATTGGGATACCATTTTTATCACCTAGGACCTCCTCTAAGGTCTGAAAGGACAACTCATTTCTTTCAAATCATAACATGCACCATTTTGGGACTTTTGGGACAAGAATGCTTCCATAAAGCTAAAATGACTAGATCTATCTCATACAAGTATAAAGTTCCAAGCTTTTTACCTTTTGGAGCTTCTAGGGTACAAACCAACTTCAGATCTACAAGCTTGATCTTCTTCTCCAACTCCTTGATGCAACACCTTCTTAAAACACTCAAGAAACACTCAAAAGCTCAAACACTCAGAAACGGCTAGGGTTTGGGGGAAACGACTCTAAGCAGTGGAGGCTGGGGTAAGGGGGGGTTTTGTGCTCATAATGTTGCATATACAGCCCCCAAACCCTAAATATTAGGGTTTCCTTCTGATATGAGTATGCCCAACGTACACAAGTGTACGCCCAACATACTAGGGCGCGCCTAGTACGCTCGGCGTACCCTTATGTACGCGCGGCGTATTCCTCCTGGACCCAAAATTTCAACTTAGCCCTTAGACTTTTCATGGCTTCACCCTTCCATTCCTAGGGACTATAAATGGCAAATCTTGGGATGTTACATAAACATTGTATGAACCCTAGCTTTAGTGTTTTAGCCATTTGAGGCCATGCATGCACATAAAGTTAGCAACTTTACGTGGTATTTTGGTCTTAAGGGACTGGATTTGTAGTTTGGAGGTTTGGATTCAACTGGAAGGGATTGGTTATGTTGATATAAGGGAAAACTCGATGAGTCGCCCCAACAACTCGGCGAGTTGGATCAGGTTTTCTCGTCTTCGGTCTACAGAGTAAACTCGGCGAGTTGATAAAATAACTCGACGAGTTGGATCAGGTTTTTCCCGTTTTCGATATGACGAGTAACTCGGCAAGTTGATGAGAAAACTCGGCGAGTTGGTTAGGGTTTTCCCTGGTTTTCTGAACACTGGAGGAACTCGATGAGTTGCTAGATGCACTCGATGAATCGGGTCAACATGGACTATTGACCTTGACTTTGACCAAGTTTGACCATAAGGGTATTTCTGGTATTTCAGGATTATGACAAGCTAGTCACATGATGATTGTAGGCAGTTGAGTTGGAGCTACGTGTTAGGACTTATCTAATCTTATCTTATCAGTTCAACATTTTTGAGAGGTGAGTCTCCTCACCATACCAATAGGTCTAAGGCACCAAGGCCGGCCCATTATTTGTTATGTGATATGCTAGTTGGTTATGGGATATATATGGTATGCTAGTTATTTGTGGTACTCGCATGAAATACCTCAGGGGGTTCCCGAGGCACTTATGTGTAAGACCTTGGAAGGTTTCCAAGGCATCCTTAGTAAAGACCTCGGGGGGTTCCTGACTCATTTGGGTGTAAGACCCTAGAGGGTTTCCAGGGCATCGCTAAGACCTCGGGGGGGGGGGGGGGGGGGTCCGAGGCACCCAGAGTAAGACCCTGGAGGGTTTCCAGGGCATCCCTGGGCTAAGACCTCGGAGGGTTCCCGAGGCACCCAGATTAAGACCCTAGAGGGTTTCCAGGGCATCCCTATATGTTTTATGCATGACTAATATGGATTAGGTGATTATGTGGATAATATGGGGAATGCTTTGGGGAACTCACTAAGCATTAGCTTACAGTTTGTTGAATTGATTCATGTACTTCTGAGCCTAAGGGCAAGAGTAAGGTTTGATGACGCGTCATGCACTCTCTCAGGCGTTTTTATAGGACACTCTGATATTTGAAATAAAATTGTTCATGTTATGAATTTGAAAACAACTATTCTAGATTAGTTCATCAGTTTTCTCATCTTTTATTCCAGATTAGTTCATCAGTTTTCTCATCTTTTGCTAGGATTGAGAGTATAATATGTGAGGGTTGTTGTGAGGTATTATGTAAATTAGAATGAGATTATTGTAGTTAGGGTTTGATATGTAACATGTATTCGATCTCGTTCTCCTTTAAAGAGTGTTGATCTTTGTGTTCTAGTGATTCAAGTGTTGATTACTCGCATACCACCCACAAACCCCTACAATTCGTCCGCATGGAGAGGGATTTGCAATATAAAAAAGTAACTGACGATGTTAAACCATATTTATTAAATGCAGTATTGTAAATATCCTGACTAGGTCTCGATTAATTTCCAATTAGTCCATAAGCGCTGCCCAACCGACTAGAATACACCCAGTAATTAATCACTGCCTACATAATAAGTGAAATAGTAGAAAGCAAAGGATTTTTAACATTTTGAAAAAGTTGTCTTAATAGAAAATATTTGAAGAATAATTAATGTTGTATTAATCATATTAAACTATTTTGTTATGATATTAACATTGTTTACAAATTTGTTATGATACTAGTCATATTTAATTTTTTAGCATTCATAGAATTAACAATTTATTGTCGCTGATTAATCGTTTGATTAATTCTTGTCTAGCCAATTAATCCCTAATCTGAGTCCACCAACTAGCTAACTTTAAACATTTTTTACAACCTTGATTAAAGTTGATAAGTTTTGTTTTATTGTTGTGACATATTTAATTTTTTAATTGTAATTTGGGTTACATGAGTTAATAAGTGGAAACAATTTGTTGTATCAAAAGCCATGGTTAAAGTTCCCCAAACCAATTACGAATACTACTAAGTTAGTAACCACCCCATACGTCTTAAACAATTTCCATAAAATTCCCTTTTACCCCAACTCGGCAGGAAATTCGTCACATAAAACTAATAACCTTAACAACAACGAAACAAACTTGATACTACCCTCTTAAAAGAGTTTCATTAGCCTACAAGGAACAAACTATGAACGTAATTTCGATTTAATGAAGTTGTCTCCTTAAAATTGATAGGTTCTATACAAACCGACACTCTTATTTCTATTAACATTTGCCAGTATCTTCTATTAGCTACTCGTATTTTCAAAATTTCAAGCATACCATATTAAACCAAAAGTGATAAAAATATACTATATATTTATACCCTCCCAATCGGTGAGACTGGTGGTTTTTTATTATGTACAACGGTTTGACTTTTGACTTTCCGATGTCTTGTAATTACGGGTTTATTGAAATCAAATACATCTTGAAAATGATTAACTTGGAAAATATGAGTTAAATTTTGGCTACTTACAACTGCAACACAAATGGAGAATACTTGCAACAAAGACATTGATGCATTGTATTCGACCGAGTAAACACCATTCTCAAGTAAAGCCAAACTAAAAGCACAATTGTTATTGCCCCTTCCCTGAAATATAATCATTTACAAATTATAAAAATATATATATATATATATATATATATATATATATATATATATATATATATATATATATATATATATATATATATATATATATATATATATATATATATATAGAAGAAAATAAGCAGATTGCTAATATAGGAAAAAAAATACCTGATAATAAAGATCGATATGATCTGAGATAGATGGATTTAAAATTTCAGTTGATTCACTCTGATTAGTAAGAACTTTTAGCTCACAACCAATATCCCACCCTCCACAATCACAAGCTCCACCAGATTTCCATCTGTTAATCAAAGAAGAAGGTTTTCCACTTTTTGGCAATGTATGAATATTTCCAGGAAGAACAACCACTGTGCTTTTTGACCTCCCTAAACCTCCATACTTTTCTTTACTTGAGTTCTTGACAACAATGGCAGCAAGCTCGGATTGACCAAAATCAGGATCATACAATACTGATTCTCTTTCCACAAATAAGTCTCTTTCTAGTCCACTAAACTCAGCATGATAAGAACTAGAAATCTTCATATGCCCCACAATCTTGTTCTTGATTTCATGAACAGAGTGGAATGTGTAAGTCAAACTTGAATCGTCTTTCCCAGATGGTAATTTTTTCACAGTGGCAACTAGAATGTTATTGGAGCTATTGCTATGAGTATCTACCATAAGTTTGAAGAAAGGAATATCATTCTTCATTGTAAGATGTAGAAGAGCTTGTAAGTTAGGTGATTTACTTTTTTGTTCTGGATTATTGATGGAGATTGATGGTTTTGTAATGCGATTGGTGTTGGACTTCCAGTTTTGTAGAAGGTTCCAGTCAAGAACTCCAAAATCAAAAGTTTTTTCTTGGATATTTCCAGTTTTGCCCCCGCACTGGAGATAGCTAGGAAGATTGCTACTGTGTTTCACAAGATCGCCAACTTTATGTACAATAGTTTCTGACCTCTGGTTCTTGTAAGCCATGGAACTTGTTCTTCGTTCATGATGTTTGCTAACATGTAACCGGTTTCCCATTTTAGAACATTCTGTAGATTCTCTAATCTTGTTTTCTTGTAAAGATGGAGTTTTTGATTTCTTCTTCACCTCTTTTGAGGTTTTCTGTTCGCCTTTTTGTGTCTTCATTCAATCATGTTGGCTGATGGAAGATAGTGCGAGAAAGGGTCTCAGTTTATGTGTCAGGGTAATCAATCTGATAAGTTTCATGTATGTGTTCATATTATCGACATCATAAAGTAGAAACCGATCAAGATCAAACACAGATAGGCGAAATGAAAATTTTGGAACAACAAATTCAAAGAATGAAGGTCAAAATAAACTAAAATGTAGAAAATATCACTTACTTGAGTAATGATCATGAAACGAAATCCAACAAAACAGAGAAAAGAAGACCAGAAAGGAAGAGAACATTATAAAGCAAGCAAAGAAATGAACAACTAGAAAGGGAACCTAGGAAGCTACTTTGATTCGACGCGTCAGGAGGTGAAGTTTCTTTCTTCTATGTACATAACATGAATTATAAACTACGAAAGGAATCGATCACCGAAAACGCAAAAGGGAGTTGGAAGAAAACGATCTTACTCTACAGTAGTTGACCGATTGCTTGCTTCTGCGATAAGATGATCCTTCTTATTGTTTTTGAATGGCGTAGAAATCATAGCAGATGGTTGTAAATCTGTGGAATCGCCGTGTGATTCGATGGCGGAAGAAAACCCCGCGAAATCAGCTCCACATTGACTGTGTTGAGAAAAGATGAGAGAGATGTTTCGTTTTGAATCGAGCGGGTAGAGGACAACGGTTCGGATAGGATCAGATATGGGCATGGGGTATGGAGCCTTTAATGCCATTAATAATTCCTCTTGATTATTAATGTCTATTAAAACTTTTGATTTTGATAAAACGAAGAAAATGACATTTGAATATAATCAATATATGCCTTAAAGACTATTTATTGTTAGTTGAGAAGACAATTTTTTCATTAAAAATCTAGAAAACTACATTAAATAGTCAAAAATTCCTTTCTTAAACACTTCATTCCACTTCTCATACAATTAACTCTAATATATTTTTTTTTCTTGTTTTTTTTTTTTTAACCGGCCAATGAGATATATAGAGGAAAAAGAAAGCCACACCTAGTGGCAAACAAGAGTTCAAAATACAATGAAATGAAAAGAACAAGAATTGTAAAACAAAACAAAGAAAAAATTCAGAAAAGCAAAGGGCAATGAGACCATGATGCTCAATTTAGCTTGTCAATATTCCCCATATTCTTCACCCAGAGGTAAACCACTGATTTGATGATATCAGTGACTTTATCTGGTGGCAGCCGGTTTTTTTTGAAGACCTTTTCATTCCTTGACTTCCAAAGACTCCATAAAGTTCCATAATAGATGGCTAATATTGTCCTTCTCCTTTTTTTTGCATACCCCCCATTGAGAAATGGAACCCAATACCTCCTTGACTGTGTGGATAGGTCCCAAAAACTCTACAGAAGTTCAATGTATATAGTTCTATAAATAAAACATTTTTTTTCTTATAATAACTCTATATTTATTAAATTTAATTTATTGAAAGTATCATTCCATTAGACAATGACTCGAATGATAAAAGGACAGGCAGAAGAGCCATTCCAAATAATGATCATTTGAGAAATTGATTTCTCTATGCTGGCGGCTTTCCGGAAGACTGTGAAATCCAAGTATGGAGGTTGATCCGCCTATGGATGGCTGAAGGGTTTATTAAAGAATCAACTCAAAGAAGCTTCGAGGAACAAGCTGAGGATTACCTCGTGGAACTAGTTAACATAAATCTGTTGATTGTGGTCAATAGAAGGTTTGATGGTGGAATCAAATCATGTCATATGCATGATATTTTGGGAGAGCTATGATTGATAAAAGCTTTTGAAGAGAAGTTCTTTATTAAGAAAATAGATCTCTCATATGGCTATCGTTCATCTTATTTTACTTCCAGCATAAAGGAGCAACACCACCGTCTATTCGTAGATTATAAAGTTTTATGTGAGATATATAATTCACATGATTCTACCACACACATGCGATCAGTTTTGTGTTTTTTTAACACTCACCAATCCATTAGATTTGAAAGTACAAGGTGGGCTCCTTCCTTTTTGCTACTTTGGGTGTTGGATATACTAAATATTCGGTTGGCCGATCTCAGTGACATATTCATACTAATTCATTTAAGGCAAAATGACTAAGGAGCCCAACAAAGTTTTCAAACCGTTCAAAAAACCCCAATCATGTTTTGTTTGTTCAAAAAAATCCAACAAACTTAACATTTTGTCTAAAAAGCCCAACTAAGTTACACTTTCCTAAAAGTCAAATAAGAGAAACATATGATATGACGTGGCTTATTACCGTGTCGGAAAAATGACTTGTTAGACCAACGAAGTTTTCAAAACTGTGACATCCCCAAAATCTCGGCCAGAAAACACCGATTTTCATTTATGCTTTTAAAATAAATTCAGAGTCAATCCTTTTGATTTGAAAGAGTTGCGGAATTTGTTTCCAAAAACAAAACATGATAAAACAATGTTTACCAAAGCATTTCATAAAAGAAATGTATTTTTGATTATATAATCAAAACTCGGGGTGTCATGTTCCGATACAGACCATTAAGCATAAACAATAACATTACAAGTCATTCAACAAATATATACATATACAGACTTATAAACAAAACAACTTGATGGTTCATCCATCTTACACCCTTGCGCCACTTCATGTAATACAAATAAAACTGAGAGGGTCAGGCTTGGGAGCCTGGTGAGCATATAGGGTTTTCAACCCACAATAAATAAATTATATTTAATTTCACCAACCAATCACTATCTCGATTACCCATTCCCGTTATCCTCACTTTACGTCTCTAAAACAACATCTATCTCAAGGGACCTAATCTAGGATTTTCATCGGGACGGACATTACTGCTAAGGGGTTTCCTCAACAATAGATATCCTAAAGGCAACCATGAGGGGGATAGAGTACACCGATGAACACATCGTTCACAACACCTACAGGTTATGAACCTGCTAGCGTTCCACGAGACTGTCTAGAAGGAGTCTGTGGTCGTTATCCATACTCCGCTGAATAACTAGGTCAACAACAACAACAACATCGAGGCCTCTCATCTGTTTATTACACACCAACTATCTACCCATGTTCTACCCAACATATTAGTAGATAAATATATATATTTTTATACATAGTTTAAAACTTGTATAGCATTTTCATTCAATACATATTTCACATAACAGATGAGGCATACCCACATAACACGTATTTCATAGAAAACAAATTAGATCTATGAGATTAAAGAGAGTGAATATACATTCACGCACATAACAACAAAATTTATACATATAACACGTATTTCGTATAAAATACTTCATAATTATGCGTTTAGAAGAAATTAACTACACACTCACTTGATCAGAAGATGATCGGACAGCACTACGGCTTGCAGAAGTCGTAATCCTAAGCAGATCTGGAAGATCTCTACAAAAATCGAACTTCTCGCGGGCAGAGCTTCGGCTCGGAAACCGCACTTCTCGGGATCTTCGGGATCTCGGGACTTGCTTCGAGACTCGGGAATATTACCGGGGCTTCGGGGTGGTTTCGAGGGTAAAAACGCAGAGCTTCGGCATAAAAACGAGAGGAAATTAGCAAATAAACCCGGAACCCTCACATCCTGTTTATAGGAGGCTGAAGCCTCGGAGTACGCGGGGCGTACGCGTCCGAATTCGTCACTGCATGCGTCATCCGAAGCCACTTGCTGCGAATGTCGACACCTTCGGAGTACGCGGGGCGTACTCGAGTACGCTGGGCGTACTTCGGATCGGATTGCTGACTCCCCTTCGGATAATGCCGGATTTAAAGATTTAATTTAAATACAAAATATTTAATAAACTTCGGAAATTCATATCTTCATCATACGAACTCCGTTTTTGACGTTCTTTATATCCACGCGAGGGTGAGACTACGCTCTACAACTTTCGTTTAGATTTTGTCAGCTAATTTTGACTTTATTTTTATTATTTATTTTTAATAGGCCGAGACAGAAAATTTCGTTATAAATTCATAACTTCTTCGTTTGACGTCCGTTCTCGCCTAACTTTTTATCGCTTTGATACTAACAACGAGATCTTCGATTCTCGTTTAGATCACTAAGGCTAAATATCGCTCTAACATAAATTTCACTTTTTACATCATTCAGCGGTGCCGGTTTTGTCGCGAAACTTCGACAGGTCATAACTTCTTCGTTATAACTCGGATTTCAGCATTCTTTATATCTTCGGAAACCTTGTTTCAATTACTACAACATTATCTAAAGATATCAAGTTTATTATACATTTAAATTTTGACGCTTATTTTTTATTCTTAATTAATCAAACAAAATAATTAAGCACAAAACACATAATACTCAAATAATACACTTCTATTATTTCAAAACGGGTTACAAAGGTTAACCTAGACTATCACATTGCTAAAAATGGCAAGCCCAGAAACACAGGCGTTACAAAAACGTTTAAAAAACTTCAATCATGTTTTGACTGTTCAAAAAAACCTAACGAACTTAAACAAAACAATTTTAGGATTTTTTGAACGGTTTGGAACTTTTTTGGACTTTTTAGACAAAATGTTAAGTTCGTTGGGTTTTTTTTAACAGACAAAACATGACTGGTTTTTTTTAAATGGTTTGGAAACTTCGTTGGGCTTTTAAGTCATTTTCCCTTCATTTAAGGTACCTAGCAGTTTGGCGCCCGAACCACGACTACTCATTCTCAGTTCGCAATCTCTGGAACCTTCAAACTCTCATTTTGAAAGGGGAGGTTTTTGATTCCATGGATCTAAATATGGGGAATATGGTGGATCTTAGGCATTTATGGAGTGAAAGGACCATCTCTATTGATTCCCGTGTTTATGTATTATGCAACTTGCAGACCATGTCAAGGGTAAGATTAGATGTTGGAGATCAAACTTTGATGCGCTCTTTTCCAAATATAAAGAAACTTGCATGTTCTGTTTCTGGGACATTTAGAGATCATGCATTTCTTAACTTTGCCTTGTTAACTCATCTTGAAGCATTGGACGTGGAGTACATGGATAATCCAACACCTCTAGTGAATCCAATTAGATTGCCAGAAACCTTGAAAAAGCTTACTTTAAAAGGGTTACGTCTTCCTTGGATTTATATGTGAAAGATTCGACTCTTACCTAAGCTTGAGGTTCTCAAGTTACTAGATTCTTCGTTTAAGGGAAGTCGGTGGGTTACTGGTGATGAGCAGTTTCGCAAATTGAAATTCCTGAAATTAGAGAATCTGAACATCCAATTGTGGGAAGCCTCTAGCATGAACTTCCCCCAGCTCAGGAAACTAGAGGTGAGAACATGCAAAAATATTAAGGAAATTCCACTAGAAATAGGAGACATCTCTACACTTAAGCATATTGATTTTGATGACTCAAACTCTTTGGTACTCAGGTCTGTTAATGAAATTCAAGAAAAGCAACGTGAAATGGGAAACTATGACATCCATGTCAAGTTTGTTGACACTGCTCCACAGGAAGTTTTCTTTGAGGGAGACCCTTATTATGAATAATTTTTAATTATATCATGGTTGTATTCAGCTCTTTCTTATTATGAATAATTTTTAATTATATCATGGCTATATTCAGCTCTTTCTTATAGCAATAATAAGGCGATTGCCTAGACAATTTTACAATATCTACTATCATGACTATTTTACGTTTTACAATATCTAATATCATCACCATTTTACCTCATAAAGACCGTATACCCGGTTAACTTGATGATTTGGCTTTTATTACAGAATTAAAGCTAGCCACCTAATAAAAACAAGGAAACGATATTGTAATTCTAATTATCGAGCTTTAAGGAGCGATCAAAGGGTTTCATACATATGAAAGGGAATCAAACAACATTTAGACATTCTAACATAACTTACTAAAAATGATAAATTGTCATGTATCATTCCACATTGGCATCCATGTAGTTGGGTGTTGACTTGCTAAATGGATATAATTAGACTTGCTAAATGGATATAATTAACATAATTCAAATAAACTTGTGGTTTTTGTGCAAAGAAATGCCCGGAATGAAATGCTAAACTATAAGGGTGCACGAAATAACACCAGCACGGCGTGTCTAGTTAAGGAAAAGGTGTAGGTTTCATATAGGCAACACGACGTGTTTCTCTTGGAACATGGCGTGTTGATAGCTGTGAATGAAACCCTAATTTTTCTATGTTTTGCCCCTTGTTTAAAGGAAAGTGGACGCTATGATTCATTCACCCTCAGCCCCTATTAACCCCTCAATCCCTGAAGGAAACCCTAATCATCTATCCCATTCATTTTGAGCTAGTGTAGTGTTATTAAACCAAAAGGAGGGAAAAGGTGGAAGAAGGAAGAAAATATCCAGCAAGTAAGCTTCCATACATCAGTTTGGCACTCTTTTGAACCTTTGTAAGTGTCCTAGATCCGATTTAATTCTTCTATGTTTCTAGATCTTGAGTTTTGTCCCTTTTTTTTTATTCTCTTGAGTGGGGGAATGGGTGGATCTCATAAACTCAACAACTTTATGAATCTCCAGGTCTAAGTGTCCTTGTAAAGTCTTGGATCTGGCCTTTAGCCGAGTTTTGATGCCATGCATGGAGAGTAGGTCATAAATCCGCATTTTTGACCTATTTTGGGTTCAAGACATGCATTGGACATGCATGAATATAAAACACCGACCGTTGGGATGGTTTTGGTGCTAGAATCTCTTATGGAAAGGATAGATTTCAGACTTTAAGGATTTAGTGCTTATTGGTTAAGCCCTTCAATCTTCAAGCCTCGTGGTTAGGTTTTTGGACCTTTGGAAGAGTTCCAATGTATAAAGTTGGAAACTTTATCATTTTTCTTATTATTTGGGTCTAGATCTGAGCCTTCGAGTCCCTGGAATAAGAAAAAACAGCTAAATGTTTTAAGCTGCTGGAACTCAGGCAAACACAACGTGTTTGCAAGCCAACACGCGTGTTGGCTGGAGTTTTCCTGATCGTTTGGATGCTATCGAAACACAATGTGTTTTCTAGTAAACATGGCGTTTTGGGTCAACATGGATTATTGACCTTGGTCGTAGACTTTGACTTTGACCAAGTTTGACCTTGAGGGTATTTTGAGTATTTTGAAATTCTGATGGAATTGGACCATTTGATGGATTTAGGTATCATGTAGAGAGCTAAGATTCGGATTCGGGCCTCAGCAGTTCTATTCAGTTTGCGAGGTGAGTTTTCCGCATTGTACTTGCGGGTCGAAGGCACCAAGGCCGACCCATTGGTTTGATAACCTGAGATTGTTGATATGTAGAGTATGGAATATATATATATATATATATATATATATATATATATATATATATATATATATATATATATATATATATATATATGCTAGTTTTAATATGCTAGTCTGGTAGACCTGTATGACTACATGTGATACTGTTTATTTATCTGTATATGATATTATCTGTTATATATCGACATATTATGTAGGTTGGGTTGAGGTTTTACTGCTCTGTACGGTAGCTAACAAACCCTGGAGCAATCCATATATGAGTTAAGGGACAGAGAGAGCATGTCGGACTCATACTGAGGGCTCATGCGCATTCCAGATACGAGTTGGGGGTCGGGAAGGACATGCCAGACTCGTACTGAGGGCTTAGTGGTATTCAGTCCAGGGACTGATCTGGTCAAGGAGCAAGCTAGACATAAGTTGTGGGCCAAAGGGGCAAGCCAGAATTATGTTGTGGACTTAGGGGTAATCCAGTTTGTTAGCTGTGGACTCATTGCATGTTGTTATTGTATATGTGTTATTTGTTGTGTTGGTATTTGGGGGGAACTCACTAAGCTTTGGGCTTACAGTTTTGGGTTATGTTTCAGGTACTTCAGATAATCACGGGAAGGCTAAGGCATGATTGTGCACCTCATCGTGTTTTGATTTATGATTTTAGGAAAACGCTGATATTTAACATGTTTTGAAAACTATTTTTGTAAACAATGATGATTGTGGATTGGTTTTAAAAGTTTAAATTTTTCATGAATTTTCTGGGTGTTAGAAGTTGGTATTAGAGCCTTGGTTTGAGTGAATTGGAAGAATACTCATGTGAATCCAGTCTCAAACTAAGGAAAAAGATTAAAAAAAAAAATTTCAAATGGTTTTCAAAATGAGCAACGAGGATGCGATGTCTACGATCAGTCGGAGCCAATAAGTAGACCCCAAATTATTACACAACTATTTTAAGATTATGTTGTGATATGTTAGAACAACATGCTAGTAATAGGATAGGGATCTTCAATAATCGTATGATGGAATTTCCTGATATATGATGCCTTATCTCTTGTAGAATGCCTTATTCATTGTTGTATGACTCTTCCGTATATGAACTAACTATTGAGTGAATGTGCTAAGTCACATACTACATGAGTTAAATGACCTTAGGGTAAGGGATTTGGTCCTACTGTGCAACTCTTGTCTGAATCCAACCGTTGCAGGATGGAATCTTTTAGCCTAAAATTGTTTAAGTTGTGTAGTATGTGATAGGGTTAATGCGATAGTTATCTGACACCAATAGAGGGTCGTGTGGCAGTTAGTGGTAGGGTTAGTTGTGTGGGGTCAACCGGTCAGTCGCATTATGTTTACCCTTCATCTAGGAAGCAAGGATAAAGTGTTTTAATATGATAGTGTGCGGGTATTGGTAGGGTGGTTGTGATGATCCTTTAAGACAAATACGGGTAGGTGTGGAAGGCAGTATGGGCCCGTACTGCTGAAAGCATAGGACCCATACGCATAATAAGGAAGTCACAGCCCCTAGGGCTTTGTTGGGAGATGGCTCCCTTGGTATGGTATGTGTTTCATCTGATATGTGGATATTCCTAGTGTATTTTTAGTTTGGTGACTACGAGACAAGTTGAGATCGGATCCGAATCGGGATCAGGAGCAGGAAAACAGGGTGAGCCAGTGTTTTCAGAGGACCGCATCAGGGAAATAATTCGTGAGGAGGTAGTTCTATTGTCCGGGGTCAAATTTCGGAGATGTTCAGGCCTATCAAGACCGCGATGGTGGAGTTCTTTGATGATCGCTATGCAACCATCTCTGAGATGACTGCTGCTGCAGCCTCTACAGCCGTGACGGCTGTAGGTGTTGGGATAGGGTGGGTCTTTTAGTATCGGGATTTTGACAATACGAATCCCCTGACTTTCGATGGAGTTCAAGACCCGATTATAGCCATGAGGTGACTATTTGATGTGGAGGGTTGCTTCTTCACTTGTTCATGCCTTACTGACCAAAAGGCCAGGTGCGCTCTGAACCTTCTGAGGTCTAGAGTGAAGGATTGGTGGGGGCTCGCTACTAGTTCTTATTATTTTGAGCAGAGAGTTGTTGTGTCATGGGAGCAGTTTTTTAAGATGTTTTGCTCTTGGTATGTCCCATTGGTTGAGCGTGTGAGGTTAGTGTAGGAGTATCTAGATTTGAGACAGGGTTCTAAGACGGTAACGAAGATCACCAAGATGTTTATAGAGAGGGCTATGTTCTACCCTGAGTTTGTTGCATCTGAGCAGGCTTAAATGACCCGTTACTTGAGCATGCTTAAGATGGAGATCATGCAGTTTGTTTCTACTTAGCGCTACAGTTCATTGTTGGAGATGCAAGAGGCAGCCAGGCGGCATGAGATTGAGATTAAGTTGCGGACTTGGGAGTCGAAACCGGCCCCGGCGCAGTCGTAGTCGGCGCCCAAGCGGTTCAGGGCCGCTGACTCCAGGTCGGGAGTCAGTGGGGTTGCACTTGTAGGAAGTGCGGCAAGGTACATGATGGTGTTCTTCGGTCTTCTTCGGGTTGCCAAAAATGTGGAAAACAAGGCCACATTGCGAAGGATTATCGGCAACAGACTCCAGCTTCGGGCATCAGACTTTGTTACCATTATGATTAGTTGGGCCATATGAAGGCCCAATGTTCCTTGTTAGCTACCAAGCCCGCGTAGGCTCTAGCACCAACTACTTTGAGGATCACTCGCGAGAGTCAGAGAAGGGCAGAGCCCCCGAGGACTCGAGGTTGCGCTTTCTAGCTCACTGTCGAGGAGGTAGGACAACACTAGATGTTGCGACTAGTATGTTTCTATCCCTTATCTTATTGATTATGTTTGTTTTATTCTCATTTGTTTGTACCTTTGGAAGATACATTTCTAGTGAACTTCTTGCCTGGTTTAGTGTTGTTTGACTCGGGTGCAATTTGGCCCTTTGTTTCTCGGTCTTTTAGTAGGGAGTTTGCCTTGCCCATTGGGGAGTTGGAGTGTCCATTGTGAGTTTCTATCGCCAACAAACACGGGTTTTCTGCTTCTTCGGTCTATCAGGGTTGCGTTCTGGAGATATTCAGGGTATCCTTTATGATCGATTTGATTCCTATTCCCATGGGGGATGTCTGAATGATCGTGGGTATGGATTGGTTAAGTCATTTAGGTGTCACAATTGAATACAAGGGTTAGCGTTGGTAGTTTGAACCTCAAGTGGGGGAGAATTGGTTATTTATGGAATGGGCACCAGGTTGGGTT